ACCTCAGTGGCCAAAAACTCCCCGAAACGACTGTGAAAGCCGTATTCACCACACCGGAGCCGATGGTGGCGTAGACGGGCTGCTCCACGTCTGCCTTCTCGAAGATGCTGGTGGAGTAGTAGAAGACCTACAAAGGGCAGGGATGTCAGGCCTGGCGTCAACCCACCACGTGATGCTGACCTGGACCCAACACAACCCAAGTTCTGGGTGAAACAAGCTGAGCCCACGGCACCCAGGTCCCCCCCAAAACTCACCGCGTTGATCCCCGAGAGCTGCTGGGACAGCTGCAGGACGATCGCGATGAGGATGGGCTGGCGATACATGGGGGACCGGAAGAGCTCCATTATGGTCACCTTCTTCTCCCTCATCATTTGCCGGCTCTCCTCCTTCATCTCCTGGAGGTCACTGCTGACGTCCGTCGTGCCCCGCAGCTTCTTGAGGACTAAGAGGTGGAGTCAGGAGCAGCTGAGGACCCTCCTGCATGGTGGGAAGAGCTCGGGGCCGGGGCCGGGGCGGGGGGTCACTCACCACTCTTGGCTTTGTTCTCCTCGTTGCGGTTGATGAGGAGGAAGCGGGGGCTCTCGGGGGCGAAGGGCAGGATGACGCACTGCAGCAGGGCGGGGACGAAGATGAACCCCAGGAGCAGCGGCCAGAGTGAGTCGTTTCCCATGATCAAGTCCAAACCGAACACCTGAGGACGAGAGGGGTTGAGCCACCCTTTCCCAGCTTAAGTTGGGCCCAACTCTGCTGCTCATGGGTGCGTGACAGGCTTGGACACCCATCAGAGGGGCACGGACAGCTGCGTTGCTTCCAGGTGGCCAACAGACTTCCATATCGTGATGCTGCCCATCCCAGACCTTAAGATCTCACGGCACCCCTGCTCCTGCTGAGCTCCAGGTCCATCCCTCCAGCCCCGTCTCCTTCTGAAGGACCACGCAGATCCACAGCACGGGCAACGCTCCGCGCTGCTGCACTAAACCATCCCCTGCAGACCCTGATGAGCATCAGCATCAAAGATGGGGAACCCATCCGGTTCTCCGGCACTTACCTGCGCGATAAGGATGCCCAAGACGATGCCAAGCTGGTGGAAGGTCCCCAACGCGCCCCGCAGCGCGGTGGGTGACACCTCGCCAACGTACATGGGCACAAAACCGGTGGTGAGGCCGGAGTAGAGGCCAATGATGAAGCGGCCAAGGATGAGCATCTCGAAGGAGAAAGCCATCTTGGAGAAACCCATGAGGACAGCGGACACGAAGGCAAGAACATTGGACACCAGCATGGAGTTGCGCCTGGGGAGGGAAGGGAGGAGGGAGGTGAGGACCACGGGGGTCAGAGAGGCTGAAGGGGTGTCAGGAGAACCCAAACATCAGCTCTTGGCAGGAGGAAGGTGCCCAGAGCCACCCCCCTGGGATGCCGGGGTGGGGTGAGGCTGCACACTCCCCTCCACCCCGTTGAGGTCCACCACGGGTCCACCACGCTCGGTGCTCACCGTCCGAAGCGATTGACAAAGAGCCCCACAGAGAAGGATCCGATCATGCCTCCGACGGAGAAGATGGCAACGGAGAGGGACCAGAGCGTGGTGAGGGTGGCAGGGCTGATGGGCTCCTCGTATCGGTACAGCCAGGTACGGTTGTAGAAGTCCTCAATCACCTGCAGAAGAGGGAGGGGAGAAACGAAGCCACGGGTCAAAACCATCCCCATTTCATCTGTGCCACCGGTGTTACGAATTGCTCGGCCTCAGCCCAAGCCACCTACGGACCCTTGGCCAGCAAGCGCGGCTCACAAGACGATGCGTCACGGAGCCGGGAACCGCCCAGCCGGTGGCTCGGCTCCAACCCAAGGGAGGAAACCTGACGGGATGCGCGGAGGAAATGCAGCCGGACGGGTTCTGGTCTTGCCCTGACGAGAGGCTCGGCGTTGCCAAAATACCTCTTTCACCTTGCCAGGCGGCCGCGGGGAGGTCACGGGAGGCAGGGAGGGATGCCTCCATCACCGGAGGAGAAGCAACACGGCGGGGAGGGGGAGACGGCAGAGATGGCGGAAGGAGGCGAGGAAGACATCGGGGTTATCCGGGCAGCTGATCAATTAACTCCCATCCCCCTGGACGCTCCCTCGACTTTAACTTCTAGGTTTTTCCCTGCAATCCTTCCACAAGGCAATACTTCTGCCGTAATTCTGCAGTACTGCAACGCTAACATCCAAGACAGGCGCTTGTTTTCAATTACCGGCTTCGCGGAACACCCTTTTTTAATTATTTTATATATATATATTTTTTTTAATATATTTTTAAAGCCAGCCCACTGCCGAAAGCTTCACGTAAGTTATTTAAGGGTCACCCGTACCCAAAACAAACAAGCAAAGGCCTCGATTAACACGCCCAACCAACCGCCCGGCCGGCGCCG